CCCACACATCAAAAGGATTGTAAGGGAGTACACTATGAACAACTCTATGTACCATGATGCCTAGCTAATTTTTCTATTTTTAGTGGAGACAGGGTCTTATTCTTGCTCAGGCTGATCTCTAACTCCTGACCTCAAGCAGTCCTCCTGTTTCAGCCTCCCAGAGTGCTAGGATTATAGGCGGGAGCCACCACGCTCAGCCAAAAATTTCGTTTTGGTTCTTTTTTATGTCTTATATTTCTTTCCTTAGACTTTCTCTCTGAGACTTTCTATTTTTTCATTTGTTTCATTGTGTTCTTAATTACTTGTTGAAGCATTTTTATGATAGTTGTTTTAAAATCTGTCAGATAATTCTAAACCTCTCTTATTTTGGTGTTTGCATCTGTTGGTTGACTTTTTGGATTCCGTTTGAGATCTTGGTTCTTGGTATGATAAGAATTTTTTTTTTTTTTATGGAAACCTGGACATTTTGAGTTATGTTATGTTTGGTTATGTTATGAAAATCTGGATCTTATTTAAACCTTTTGTGTTAGCTAGCTTACTCTAAGAGTCACTCTGGCAGGAGAAGTCAGGGCTGCCATCTTATTACTGCCAACTACAGGTAGAAATTGAAGTTTCTACTCTGCATCCACTGGCATCGTGGAGGGGAATGTTCTTTGTGATTTCTGGGTGGGGATGAGAGTTCCAGGTTCCCACTAGGCCGCCACTTGTCTAAAAATGGGTGGGAGTACCTCGTTACTGTTTCTCACATTGCCTCCACTGACACTACTTGGGCGGTAACCTTGTTACTACTGGCCGATGGTGAAAGTCCTGACTCTTCACTACCTCTACACCACCCCAGGGCAGAGGAGGATTGGCTGCTTATTACTATCTGGTAGGAATAGAAGTTCTCATTCTCCATGTGATTTCCACCAAACACTATAGGAGTTGAGAGAGAGGCTTCATTTTATCCTGCTATGGGTGGACATTTTAGGTCCCTATTCAGTCTTTGGTGGCATTGGTGAGAGTTGGGCCGTAGTCTTTAGGTGGTGTTTGATTGGAGTGAGTATTTATTTTCTAAAAGTTTTCTGTCATGCTAAGCTGCTCCTTTCTTGGTCTTTTGGCTAGAGGAAGACCAGGTTTTTGTTGGGGCTTTTTGTCCATCCCCATTGGTGTTTCTGGTTTGTTGGCTTCTTCACCTCCAGGTTTGAGATATGTGAGGCAAAAAGAAACCCAGGAACTCACCACTATATTGTACCACAGGTCTCCACCTTTCAGAGTCTTATGTTTATTTTATATATAATATCCAGGGATTTTAGTGGTCCCTAGGAGAGAGAAGGAAAAGTACATTTATTCTCTCTTCCTGGAAGTAGAAGTTATTTATCTATTAAAAAATTTTTTTAAATCCTATACCCCCTTCATCCCACTCAAGTTAGTGCCTCCTTTCTCTGAGCCACTTTAGAACCAAATTCTTTGAGATCATTTATCGACACTTGTTTTCTCCAGTTTCTCTCTTCTCATTCTCTCTTAAACCTATTCCAGTAAGATTTTTATCCTTATCACTCCTCCAAAACAACTCTCGTCAAAATATCATTTACAAGTGAATAATAAAAGCAGTAATACTTATTAAAACTTGTGGTTGCAGCTAAAGTTATACAAAGAGAGAAATCTGTAGTCTTAAATGATATATTAAATGAATTAAATTCTGGCAAGATTGGACAAGGGAAACAATGAAAAGGCAAAAATAAATAATGTTAATGCAGATTAGAAAATGATATAAAGATTTTTAGTGAACATATTTAAATAAAAGAATATGTGAAATAATCCAATTATTGGAAATTTATAAGTCACCAAGACATTCAAAAAGAAATAGAAAATCTCAGTGGTCCTGTAACCATTCAAAATGTCGATATAGTTAAAATTCTTTCTTTCCCTCTCTCAATAAAAAAAGGCCCAGATGACTTTTCATCTAAGTTCAGACAAATGCTAATTCCAAGGCTGTATAAACTTCTTCAGAAAACAAATAGAAAAAATGGTAGTAATATTCATTTCATTTTCCAAGGCTTATACTACAAGCTTGTTATCAAAACTAGCAAGGAGAGTGTCCAAGAATGAAGTTTACAAACTACCCTCTCTTAGGAACATAGCAAAAAATAATCTAGCAATGTATAAAACAGATAACATGACCAAATTGGCTTATTCTAGACATGCAAGCTTTAATTGATATTAGAAATTTGTTCAAAATGTTTACGCTTTAATAAAATTATAAGTTACTACACACATCATAGACCTTCACATCATTAATTTAGAACAGTGAAAGTCTGAGAAAATCTGAGAATGCTGGGTATCTGTAGAACATGATGAGTACCAGAATTTGGTTTTGAGTTTCATACTCATTTTGTTGAGGGGGAGTCAGATGGTCTCTCAGAGGTGGCAAAGTGTGAGTTACGGCTTGGTGAATAATATTTTGTCAGAATGTCGGTGGTAACATTTCAAGTAGAGGAAATATGTGTGCTAAAGCATAGCTGTGGCATTTGGGAATGGTAAGTGAATATAACTAGAGCACGGTAAGGATATTGGGAAATGGCAGGAGATGAGACCGGAGATTTGTGCCAAATTGTTAAAGACCTTGTCTGCCTTGCTTCTTGCTAAATAGTGGAATTTATCAACCCACTGAGAGTTGGAAAGCCAGTCAAGATTTTTGAGCCTTCCATCTATTAAGCTCCTTATATTTAATGTTTTGTCTTTAGAAATAACTTATTGTTTGCATGTTTTTCCATATGTAACTTATTTGAAGTTAGGTGCTTTCACTGATTGACTTTTTGTTCATTAAAAATGTAGGAATCTGGATTTATGACTGAAACACTTAATATAATGTATTAATTTCCTCTGTGTTACATCCTGAACTTTTAAAACCACTCATGGCTAATCTCTTTCACCAAGCTGTTGCCTAAGAACTCTCCAGAGAAATATGTGACAGAGGCCTGATTAATTGCACATGCTCTGCCATTTTTTAACTTTATATGTGATAAAAGCATATTTTAATACATCTCTTTTTAAGAAATATTGACAAATTTATTGGAATTTTTTGATTTGAGTTGTATTTTTTGTTTTGAAGAAAAGTCATTGGAGTGAACTTTCATTGATTGCTAGGTTTTTTCTTTTCCCCCCCTTTTTACTTTTTTTATTGCATTGTTAGATGCAAGCAACAAATTTGTTTGTTACTCTAAATTTGTCAATCAGGGAATTTTAACTTCATAAATGCACTCACTTTCTTCTTAAATGCATTTCTTCTAACCCCCAATGATGCTTTCATTTAGTTTTTTTGATTATATAATTTGTTTGATTTTTTTTCATTTAAGGTGTGACTGCACAGAAAAGTTACAGAACAAATTTGACTTTTTGCGCTCACAGTTGAATGATATTTCATCGTTTAAAAATATCTACAGATATGCCTTTGATTTTGCAAGGGTAGGTACAATTTCCATGTTTAGTTGTTTTAATAGGTTTTCATCTTGAAACCACACTTACGAAAATTTTTTCACTTATATTCTAAGGATAAAGATCAAAGAAGCCTTGATATTGATACTGCTAAATCTATGTTAGCTCTTCTGCTTGGGAGGACATGGCCACTGTTTTCAGTATTTTACCAGTACCTGGAGGTATGTATGTTTTTTAAATTTTGAAATATTATTTTAAAACTTAATCTGATTGAAAAATATACTTTTAATTAAGGAACAAATAGATTTTTAATATTGTATTTTTAAAAAATCTGCTTGAGTAGACATAATTTTGTTAAAATATGTGTATCTCTTGTCATTTCTGGACATTTTAGTTCATGTTTATTAATATGTTTTGTACATAAGATATTTTCATTCCACCCACACACACACACGCACACATTCACACACGACACACACAACATAAGACCTCCAAGAAATATATTTTAGCACATTCTTCATGCAAAACTAGTTTCTTGGATTTTTGTCCAGAGAGAATTGATACAAATCTCAAGCTTCTAAATCTAGTTTCTTTCTGTTGTTATACAGGGTCTTAGGCTGAAATGCACATAAGAGAACCAATTTAGTGATGAAACTTTCCTCTTCTACTTAGGCTCAATCTGAAGAATAGAATAAGGCTATTAATAGTTTTTATGTCCACAAATCTGAGAATGGCTATAATAGTATATGCTTAACACATTGACTGCCACACTAGAAAAAAAATTTTTCCTTGGGGCCACAGTGTTTTATTACAAAAATAGAATAAAAACTTCTAAAACAAAATGATCCTTTCTAATTTAATGAAAAA